TGTTTTTTTATTTTATTTTCTTCCACGAATAAGTAAATCAGCACAGAAATGTTCTCAGTTTAGAAATCATAATCTAAAATTTAAGACTATACTATCTAGTCCCAACAAACCTTCCTGTGTTAGCCTGAATTACCCCACCAGGCTATAGCCAAAATGAACTACTCCATACTTTTCAAACATATTATTTGCTTTCTGTCTCCCTATCTCTGTTCGTGTTGTTTCTTCTGCCCAAAATGACCTTTCCCCATCTTGGACAGTCTTCAAGGTCTACCTCAAGTGCTACCTTTTCCGTACTTCCCTAACTCCTCATCCACTCTCTCCTCTCTTCTCCCTACTCAGCTTGAAATATTCTGCCCACTGAATTCACAGCAGAATGATTTGTGTTCTTTCTTCTCTCTTTTGAATCCCCAAGGCACTCACTACTTTCCACATTCTGTTTCAATTACATGTATTTAGTGTTTATGACTCACTAAATGTGACTTCCTGAAGCAGGGGCCTATTGGTCTTTATATCTTTGCCTTGTACTGTGCTTACTAGAACATCATCAGATTTTGTATGTTTGTTTATTTGAAAAAACTGCATTGTGCTGAGATTTGATTGACCCTGTGCCAATTTGAGGGAAATACTTGCACATTGAGAAAATTGCTCAAGAAAAGAGAACTAAAATGTAATACCTAAACATTTACATTTCATCCAAATATCAAATTACTCACTTGGACTCTGGAGCTTGACAGAACAACATGGGTTTGAAGCAGACAGGTCCACTTATATGTGGATTTTTTTTAATATAAATACAGTACAGTACATTAAATGCATTTTCTTTTCCTAATGGTTTTCTTAACAACATTTTCTTTTCTCTAGCTCACTTTATTATAAGAATACAGTATGTAATACATATAACAGACAAAAGAGGTGTTAATTGACTGTTTATGTTACCAGTAAGGCTTCCAGTCAATAGTAGACTCCCAGTAGTTGAGTTTTAGGGAAGTCAAAGTTATGCATAGATTTTCAACTGTGCAAGGGATCAGCATCCCTAACCCCACCCGTCCATTGCTCCAGGGTCAACTATGGATGTTTTTACCTTAATAAAGTCAGTAATTCAAAATAGCATACTCTATCAAATAGGAACATGAATTGTTCTATTCATATACAGTATTGTATTTATAACACTATTATTTATAATGTCATTTTAGTCTTTCATCTAGAATAAAAATATTCATTAACAAATAAAATTAAAACAAAACAAGTTGTGTTTAACTTTCAGTGAAGGTTTTTGCCCTGGACATTTTTAATGATTAAAAATAACGCAGATCCTTAAATCTAAGCTGTATAACTTCTCTATTATTTTCCTTAAACCTGGATTTTTACTCCTAAATTTTAATCTTCGACTACAACTAAAGAAGACTTGACAAGGTCCAGTAATCTTTTTTGTCATGAATGAAGTAGTTGGTATAACATAAGAAAGCAAAGAATCTATACATAGACTACTAATAAAAGTTTAAGTCAGCCTAGCAAGCAGATGCAAAAAAATTTGAAACACAACACTTTTCATCAAATCACAATTCCTATAGTCAGTAAATGTTAGAATTTAATCAGATGTAGGATGTTTTTCTTTGTTTGCATTTTTATAGCCATCTTTATTTCAGTATAGTCTGTTTTTAACTGAATTCCTTATTTGATAAGGAGAATGGAGAGATAACAAAACTAACCTGCATGACTACCATTACCAACACCTGCCAATAGCCCATCTTAGCTCACAGAATGTATATACTAATGTCTTGTCAACAAATAATTTTTGTAATAATGTGCTTGTTATATACCGGGTAGTCTTACAAATGTTTTATATACATTGTTTCACTTGGTCTTCACAACAACTCTTTGAGGTAAGTACCATTATTATCTCTATATTACAAATGAGAAAACTGATGCCCAGAAAGGTTAAGTAATTTGCCCAAGATCATATAGCTGGTAAATGGTATAGCTAAGCTCTGAACCCAGTGAATGTGGCAGCCCAGATACTTAACCACCATACTCGCCACCTCTTACTGCAGCCAGCTAGCTATTACAAACCAGAAAAATTTGCCTATCATTTTTTTTGTTACTCTAATATAAGAAAACAGGTACTTTGGAGGCACTGTTGGGCAGCATGCCCCAGTTTAGGATTCTGGAGGAAACAAGGGTTTTCCATCTGCTCTACCCACCTCCCTGTTACTTTCAGCCAGCATACTGGTATGAAAGAGATAAGAAGTGGTGTCTGGATGTCCAACAGCTAGCTGGCTAAGGCCTACATCCATACAAGTTCCTCTCAGTCCCCTTTCTCAAAGCATGAAGAAAATCCTAGTCCCCCAATTTTATTGAAAAAACTCCCCAGGGACCTAGTTAGTATCAAACACTCCCAAACTTGCTACTCTTTATTTCCAAATTTAATCTCTATGAAGTCAAAGCCCCTTTCCATAATACAGAATTAGATTGCACTGGTCACATCTCTGTTTTGAGCTAATTCTTGAGGTCCCTGCTTCTGTTTCCTACCAACGGACTAGATCCATCTTACTCTCAACATCAATTGCCAACTATGGCTTATAAAACATACAAAATTATTTTATTGATTCACAGTTTATAATGCCTTGGTACAACAAATTACACATTATAAAATAATTTAATGCAGTTGTCAAAATTATGAAATGCTTAATTATACACTTTGACCCAATCTTTTATTGCTCTAATTCCAAGAAATTTACATGAAAAGAAAAAGAGTTATATGTAACTTATCCAAGGATTCATCAGTCTACATGAGGTTAAAACTGTACATACCATCTTTGAAAAGTCAATTCAAAACGTAAACATGGTTCATTGTGTACATTTTCTCATAATCTCCTTGAGAGCAAGAAACAACTTTTTCTTTTCTTTATTTCTCACAACACCAAACACAGTATTGTGCAAATGATCAGCTTCCACATAATGCTGACCAAACTGAACAATACTCAAATAGTTACTTATAGACAGCTTAGCTTTAGAAACCTTCATGATGTAAAATGAAATGCTGTGTAAAATAGCAAAAACAGAGGCAGCCATTGTAAAAAGCAGATGACCAATCATTACTGGGCAGATTTAGAGTCAATTCCATTCAAAAGGTCAAGGTCATCTTGCCACAAAGGGAAAAAGGTTGACATTATATTTAACTGTCTGTGACATTCTGAACAATCTTTACTTTTTAAGGTAATGCATTTTGACATAGCAACAGAAAGAAATTTTTCTTCAATTTGTAAAAGAAATGACAACTCTAAGGCAGTAATTTTTTCACCTTACAAAATTATTGAGATATCCTTTAAGTGCCACTAAAGGAAAGTTATCAAAAATCTTTATGGTTTGGTTCCTTTGAAAGGCCATAAATACAGTGAAAAATAGCAAAATGCTGTAAAACCAATACCTAGAGGAATCCCAAAGCAATGCCAAGAAACAGAATGTACTCATAGCGACTAATACATGCAAATACTGGAAATAAATTCTAACAGATTAAACAGGTTTTGTTGCAACTAAAAGGTATATTCAAATAATTCCAAAACTAATCAAGCTTAAGAATATGGCAATCTTCCCTACTAATAAGAATATAAGCTGGCTAAGTAGCCTGAATAACATATAAATTATAGCCAATATCAGTAGGTATAATTTTTAATGTCTTTTTAATTAAAAAGGAGAAACTAACCCCTTAACTGAATTAAATCATTGTTTTAGACTCCAAATTCTGTCTTCTGCTAAACATATTTATTTTTATTACTATAGCATCACCCTGATGAGGCAGTAAGTCCTAACTATACTACAGAATCATGAAGACAAAACTATCTTTCTGATGAGAAATGCTGCAACATTCAACCATTTTTTGCTCATTTAATGTGGAATACCTGGTCAAATATCTAACAAGTTCTCTAAAATTAAGAAAGAAATATGCATAATATAAAAAAAATCTTTTCTTCAAAATTGGAATGTCAAACACAGGCACATTTTCTTGCCCTACTATGTCATTCTGAAGGAATGCTATAACAAAATAAAGTTAAATGTATTATAACTTGATAAAATAGTTTAAAATACATAGCAGAGCTTCAGGATAAAATGGAAATATAAATCCAATTTCTTTGCTTTGATGATTATCTACTCTTTGTAATTAACATGTTTAATGTAGTCAAGTCTTTTCATTTTGAAAATGAAAGTAAGCTAATGCGGAGTATCTCTGGATCAAAAAATCTTAAACAAGCTTAAATGTCACAAGCATTCTTTGTAAAAAACAAAAGCAAAAACAAAAAACAGATTTATCATCTGCTTTCAGCTATAACCAATGCCTTAAGCAGATATCTACATTAAGAGGACCAAGAGCTTCATTATCTCAATAGATCGGAGAAATAATTTAAATTTATGCCTTTTAAAACAGTTCAGGTACTGAAACACAAATTTCAGGAAATCAGCTTATAGCTCAGATGCTGGTAAACATGATTCCACTCATCAAACTTGTATTGCTGTGTGGTTGCACACTACAATGGTAGCAACATCTATTACTTTGCTTATGAAATTCCAGATAAAAATTTTTTTAGTATGTCACTATCTATAAGCAGCTTGCTACGAGGTATCCTTATCAGTTTGAACAAATTATGCAATTTTTATCATTTGAAAAAGGAGATGCAGTTTGACTGCGTTCAGGCTTAATCTGGAAAAATCTGGAGAGCCCCAAACCTTGCTTTTAATCACAAAAAAAGAATCTTTCCTTACTCCCTACTTCCCCAAAAAAGAAAGCTCAAGTAAACACAAACTCAAAAACACACATATGCATTTCTAAAATTCATATTGTTCAGCTGCTATCTATTACTATAAATATCACTTGTTCAAATATCCTAAGAAAAATCTGATAATAATAAATAATTACATTGATTAATATATTCTACATGACTAAGAGCTAGAAAAAGCAATAACTCTACAATCTAATAGTATCATCATAATTCATGAGGTCATACCTGATGACTTAGAGATTGAAAAGGCTCACAGGTTCCAGACTGCATGACCTTTCTATTTCCAGAAACCCCTAAAGATTGCATTTCCTGTCTTATAAAAGATAATCACAGCCATCTCTATGTCTCAGCATCTTCAGGGCTAGTGAAGAAAACATCAAAGAGCAGATCTGTCCATCAGTATCTATTTAGGCCATCAAGAAGATATCAAATCACATATATTGTTTATCGTCTCCCCTTCGCAGTTACAAACACCCCGTATTAAGTGACGATGACACAGTTGTATTTGCTGAAGCTGCTAATGCTGTCTGAAAACAGTAAGCTTACTGCTTGGAGCAATTCTGCATCATCCAAACAGAGAATGAGCCACATCCTTTAGGTTTCCCACTTCTGCTACTATAAAAATTTCACTTGCCAAAAAGAGTTTGATTTTGTCAATCCTTTAAAAAATAAGCAATGTTCTACTTAATTAAGTATCCAATATGTCTGCTGCAAATGCCCTGTTAAAATATCAATTCTTAATTATTAGGCAGTTTTCTTCATACATGACTAAGCTTTAGTATAATGATTTAATAAGCAAATTGTACTCTCTTTTAAAGGAAACTTCCCTCCAAACCATATGTATCATTATTCATCCAACCCATCAAAATTAGAAGTCCTTAAAAATGAAGAATTTTTATTCTGGCAATCTTTGAAAACTGTGTTTAACAGCTGACAAATAGGTAAGTGCATATTCACTTTTAATTCTCAAGAACTTCATTTTTTTAAAGATTTATTTATTTATTAGAGAAAGAGAGAGCTGGGGGGGTGCACAGAGGGAGAGAGAGAGTCTTTTAGGTAGGCTCCATGCCAAGTGAGGAGCCCAACACAGGTGTCAATCTCATGGCCCTAAGATCACAACCTGAGCCAAAACCAAGAGTTAGACGCTTAACTAACTGCACCACCCAGGGGCCCCTCAAGAACTTCATTTTTATTTCATGTTCTTTAGACCAACACGCTTCAAATCAAAATATCTTTTATATTTTAGTATCTTCTTCTAAAGAGTTTCACATACACAATGTGCTATTGTCAAATTCCAAAACTGCATGGTTAAACATAGGAATGAAACCTATGTAAGCTATTGGCATTTTTATTGTGATTTTTCACTGCGTCTTATTTGTGTTCAGCAAGGTTCTTATGCTTTCTTTCACCACAACATAGTGGAATCATGAAATTTAAGATTGGTAAAGTAGTCTGATAACAAAGAAACAACATCCTCTAAAATTATAAATGGAAATATTTTCTTTGGGGGGGCTCTAAATATTAAATTCCAGTTAGATAACATACAGTGTAATATGGAAATATTTTCTTTACCATGTGACAAAAGATTGTGTTTTAGAAATAAAACAAAATAAGCTAAAATTATAATCAATTTAACTGAATTCAAAATTAGGACACCAAGTACAATGTATTATTATCCTAAAACAGCCTTCACATTATGTATAGCCTGAGTTAATGAACACTTTAATTATAGACCTACGAAAATTTGTTTATATACCTGTGAAATAAACTAAATGAAATTTAATGATAGCTTAAGTGCTTACAGAAAATGTTTTAGATAAATGTAGACTAATAACTCAGTTTAATTTCTCTTCCACTCATGACATTTGATGAGCATAATATGTATTATAGTGGAGACTAGTCAAAATGAATCTTAAAGATTGGGCTTCTTTAAGAAGCTGGAAGGTGGAGGAAAAGATGGGGGGATTGGGAGGAAAGGGGAGATGTTGGTCAAAGAGTAAAAAATTCCATTTAGAAGATAAATAAATCCTAGAAATCTAACGTATAGCATAGTGATTATTGTTCATAATATAGTATTACATACTTGAAAGTTGCACCATGGTGATAATTATTTTGCTATATATAAGTGTATCAAATCAACATGTTGTATACCTCAAACTTACACAATGCTATATGTCAATTATATCTCAGTATATATGGGGAAAACAGTTATCACATCTAAAAATATACATTTTTTGTAAAAAATAAAGAAAGAAATTAGGCTTCTTTAATAGCCTGATCCACACTATCCCTTTAGAGAAGTTACTGCCTCTAACTGCACAGGTCCAGACAAAGAATTTGGGATTTTGGCTGTATGTATACAATCATACACCTGGATGAAAATTATATGTAGGGAAACATGATTTATCTGTGCAGTATTTCCTCTCTTGTCATCAAAATAGGAACTCATTCTTGAAGATCTATCTTCTCAATAAGATCCTCCTAAACTACATCATCTCCCATTCTATATTCATTCTTTAATGTATAAAATATCAAACACCTTCTATGTGTCAGACACTGTATAGGTGCCACGACAACACAAAATATGCCATCACAAAAGCAGATAATTAAACAAGTTTTAAACATGTTTTGTTATAACAGAAGAATTAGGAGGCCATATAAGAACAGTAATAGGGCATCCAACCCTAGTCTAGAGATCAGAAAGTATCTCCTTAAGCAAGTACTGTTGAAACTGAGAAGCAGGGTCACATTCAAGGAATGGTAAATACAGGTGGTTGGACCATGAAGGGTAAGTGGGACAAAAGGGAGAGATAAGGCTAGAAGAATGAGCCAAAGTCCAAGTATGGGAAGCCTTAGAACTTAGAAGCCATTGAGCTTTATCCTTAGGGGAATGAGAAGCTATCAAACATAACCACTCTTGTAGTCTTACATTACCCTAGCTATGGCATAGAAACAAGTGTGTAAAACAAAACTGGAGGAAGAAAAACAAGTTATATAATTTTGGGCAGGGGATAATTATGGCCTGGACAAAAGTGGTAGCAGCAGAAATGGAAAGAAATTGATAGATTCTAGATATGCTTTTTAGTTAAAAGGGATAAGATTAAGGGATTGAATGTGAAAAATGAAGGAGAAAGAAATGTAAGATTGGTTCCTAACCTCCTCTGTTATTACAGATTTCATTTTGACAATCAATATACTTTCATCACATGCTCTGTTGTATTGTTATTTATCTTTTTCATTTGTATATGTCTGGTTTTTATAAAATAGAAAATTGTGAAAAGACTCATTTTATTTTCCTTCTGTGTCTTCTCATAATGTGCATTACAAAGTTACTATAAATAACTAAATAAACGAGAAATAAACAGAACATTGAGCTTTTCTTTCACATATTTTGTCATAACATGGATATAAACTTTGTTTTCATGGCCATTATTAATTAGTATATATAATCTAATTTTCTTCAGTGTTTTCTTGCCAACACACTTAATCTCTGCAATAAAAATATAAAATCTGGGAAAAAAGCTTTTAATTTCTCTACCACCTAGTTGGCGAAATTATTTAACTGGAAAAGTTATGTATTCATAATTCATTACTTGACCCACTTAATAATAATTTAGCACGGACTAACCACTTAGATACCCATTTTTTAGATGACCATTGCTCTGTGAAAAAAATTATTCATACAATGTTCTACTCTTAGCAGTGTTATAAAGGTATTCTTGTAATAGTAAGACACAATGCTTCTACATTTTCCCTAAGAAATCTCTCTAACAAAGGTTTGATAAAAGGGATGAAGACCAGCCAAAGCATAACAAAGGAACCCCTTGGTCTGAATGAAGAAAGAACCAAAACAGTGAAAAGCATAAATCAAAAGTAACTTTATGTAGTTAATGATTTGTTGAGTATCAGACTATACCAAATAATAAAGGATCAGCATCTTACAAACAGCAAGAGCTTTACAATAATTAACACATATTTAGCTTCTATTTTTCACCTTTCAGGGACCATGTGATCCAACGCCCTCATTTTCCAGATAAGGTAACTGAAATTTAGAGAAATAAAGTGGCTTGTCCAAGGTCAGTTAATAGCAGAACCAAGGCCAGAATTCAGAATTCCTGTCTCCTAGTTTCACATTTTCCACAATAAAATCACTGTCTTTCAGTTATATCTTTGTAGTAATATACTTTATCTTCATTAATTAAAATAACTTCCATTTTAATATTGTTTCATATATTTTTGATATATAGTTGTGAAACAGTAAATACTTCAGAAACATATCCATAAGAATCAAGTTTTTTATATTAAAGTTTATTTTTATCATAAAGCATCTATATTTTATTTTTATTTAGATAACTTATTTCAAAGAATACCTCTGAAAAACTTAAGTAATTCACTTTGTTTAAATACCACTGCTTTAAAAAGTGTTAATTAGTTCATCTTTTCAAAGTAACTTGGCAAAGTGTATTAAGACCCTTAAAAATATTTAATCTTTTCCAGTATATCCAGTTTAGAGAATTTGTCCAAAGTAAAAAATGCAGATTAAGGTTTATGCACAAAGATGTTTGGTGCCACATTATAATAGAAGAAGAAAAAACAGGAATATAAGAAAAAAGGTAAATTATCATATAACAAAAATGAAATGCCATGTAACCACTGAATATTATGAATGAAAGATGTTAATGACAGAGGAAAATGTAGATCATGGAATATTAAGTGCAAAACAAGACTCCAAATATATTTATGTGGTACAAATTACAACTATGTAAATATACACTGAAAAAATAGATGAAATAGTGAAGTTTAAAAGACAGCCCCCAATATGACTCATTTTACAAATATATACACCAGAGTTCAAGTTTTTTCTAATAAAAAATAGGGAAAAGTTTCTGAGAGGGATTTTAAAGTTGAACAACTACTCTTGTTTCTCATGTGCTCCCTCTTTCCACTAAAATTATGCCTCAAATTTCAGTCTTCCTAATGTTTTACTCATATTTCTGCTCTACTTTAATAAAAATTTTCAAATCTCTTTCTATTAGATTATCTATACTTTAAAAATCATTCTTGAGGGGAGGGGTGCCTGGGTGGCTCAGTCAGTTAAGCATCCAACTCTTGATTTTGGCTCATGTCATGATCTCAGGGTCATGAGATGGAGCCCCACAGTGGACTCCTCATTGGGTGTGGAGCCTGCTTAAGATTCTCTCCCTCACCCTTTGCTCCTCCCCCACTCATTCTCACTCTCTATCTCTCCAAAAAAAAAACTATTGATGCGCCTTGCATATCATTTATTATTATACATGCATGTGACTGTTTACTTTCACACTATTTCTTTTGGGTTAATACTGGAACAGACTGTTTCTGGCA